CTGAGACTAGTGTTTCCAGCCTTAAAACACAGCCCTCATGTTTGTCCTCAGTTTGAACCATTTAAACTAACAACTCATTTCATTTTTCTTGTTTTTAAGTTTCTTTTGACTTTTCTTTAATCTTTGAGAATATTGGATCATTTCTCTCTTTAAAGTGAAAACAGGAATCCTCACTATCTTCTTGAGTCATACAAGTTGAAACAACGGGTTTAATCTTTGACAGTGTCTTGTATTTTATAAGATTATTGTGTTTTTAATGTAAAATTTTATTATGAAAAAAAGAAACAGCTGTCAGTATAAAAAAACTGTGAAGTAATAACTACAATATTTTACCTCTAAAATGTGGTGAGTAGAAATATAAAGTTGCATAAATTACCCCAAACTCGTACTGTACTGGCTCATGTTAGCATTAATATCAGAGTTTCATCTGCTCCAAAACTACCTGTAAAACTTCTTTACAATCCTGCAGTTATTTAGTTTTTATGATTAAACATGAACTATTGTTTCTGTTTGAGCTCAAGACCTCAGAAGTTTAGAAAAACCAGCATAAAAAAAATTAAAATAATAAAGTTATTTGGTAAAACTTTACTTTAACAACTCACACTTATAATTTATTTATTTACTTTATATTTTTTAACCTAATGAAGCAGTATATAAACATATATTATCATTTTATAACACAACATGATAATTATAACACATTATAATGTCGTTATAAGCAGATATAAGGACAATGTAAGTGTTTTTTAGTGTAATATTTAAACAATAATACTTAATTATTTGACTATATTGTCATTATTATGTGTTTAAATGCAGTGACCACAGGGGGATAAATATTTTTTAAACTTTTTATTGAATGTTAGATGTTAAAAAAATAATCGAATATGAATAATGAAATGAACGAGAGAATTTTGAGTCAAATGAACAATAAAAAGGTTAAAATGCTAATATTCACATAGAAATATATACAGTATATATACAGATAAACACACACTTAGTGATATAAATATTAAATTAATTATAATAAAAGTTTGCAAACTCCACAGACCTGATCATCCAGCTCTTACTAAAGTGATACTTGAAATGTCCGATGATAATTAGCATCATTAAAGAGAGCGAGGTGTGTCTTACAAAACCAGTGGAGGTGACTCAGAAGGTGCTAATGGTCTGTTAGACAGAGAGTGAAGCAGCAGCAGCTGAAAACACAAGAATTGTGTTGTGTTTGAATATGTTGTGGTCGAGCCAAAAAAGTGAAAAGACTAAACCACCGCAGACCACACAAAGACTATTAAAATGAAATAATAAACTCTATATTTATATCAAAACACACTCTGCAACAACTCATCCTCCATTGTCTCGCTCTTCATGACTGAGCACCAGTATTTACTAAAATTAGATCAATATATATGTTTTAAATTAGTTATTTAACGCCAAGCCAATACTGGAAATGAAAGGGGCGTGCTATCAGCGTAACATTAATTAGCTAAACTGTAACTTCAGGCTAAAGTTAGAAACTAGCTAACATTAATTAGCTAAACTGTAACTTCAGGCTAAAGTTAGAAACTAGCTAACATTAATTAGCTAAACTGTAACTTCAGGCTAAAGTTAGAAACTAGCTAACATTAATTAGCTAAACTGTAACTTCAGGCTAAAGTTAGAAACTAGCTAACATTAATTAGCTAAACTGTAACTTCAGGCTAAAGTTAGAAACTAGCTAACATTAATTAGCTAAACTGTAACTTCAGGCTAAAGTTAGAAACTAGCTAACATTAATTAGCTAAACTGTAACTTCAGGCTAAAGTTAGAAACTAGCTAACATTAATTAGCTAAACTGTAACTTCAGGGGAAAGTTATCAGCGAGCTAACATTAATTAGCTAAACTGTAACTTCAGGCTAAAGTTAGAAACTAGCTAACATTAATTAGCTAAACTGTAACTTCAGGCTAAAGTTAGAAACTAGCTAACATTAGCCTTCATCCGTGACACAAGCTAATTCAGCTCCCCTGATCCCCCCATAATTTGCTGACCGACAGGTGTAACACTTGATTTTGTAGTTTACTGTGAAACCCGTTAGAAGCCAGGACAGGACACAGGAGAAACG